CGCACTCGCTCTCTCTCTCACGCACTCGCTCTCTCTCTCCCGCACTCGCTCTCTCTCTCACGCACTCGCTCTCGCTCTCTCGCACTCGCTCTCGCTCTCCCGCACTCGCTCTCTCGCTCACACACACTCTCTCTCTCTCTCTCGCTCACGCACTCTCTCTCTCTCTCTCTCACACACACTCTCTCTCTCTCGCACTCTCTCTCTCTCACACACACTCTCTCTCTCTCTCTCCTATATCACACTCTCACTCACACACACACACACACACACACACACTAATGCATGCACACAAAGCCTGAAAGAGGAAGAGTGAGAGGCAGCCCAGGACAGTAGCCAGAGAGGGGACACGTCCACCATCATTATGCTTTTGCTCTTTCTTTGTTGCTTTTTCTTTGATTATATACGAACCTCCAACATTAAATTGCTATGTCTGACATATATATTTTCCCCCTGCACTCTCAACTTGCTCTGTGGATCAAAAATGAGAACACATTTGAACAAAAAGGAAAAAGACAGATAATAAGGTAATGAACTGGAGTCAAATCTGATGAACATCACTGATGAGGAGAAAATGTGTCGTAATGGAAAATGATTACAGCACATGTACAGATGCCTCCAAAAGTCTGAGAGCAATGGTGAAAATGCGTCTAATGTGCATTTTTATCCTTATTATCCTTATTTTAACTATTTTCATTGCAAATGATATTATCAGCATATCAATTTGAGTGAAATGTTGCAACTTCCAGCTTTAAATTAATCTTGAATCTCATATTCTTAATGTGCTCTCAGACTTTCTGATGTGACGTTAGGCTGATCCAGTTCGGTTCATATATGACACTACTGATTTCCGGATCTGTATCAGGGTTCTTGGAAGTAACCAACGAACAGGCAAATCAGCATTTGATCACAAGTCATCAATCTAGCACTGCTTAGCCAATCAATCATCAAATCTGGAGGCAGTTGATTACTCGAGAGAGCTCACGTGATTTGTGCCTCATTTGCAGTTAAAAAGCACAGGATAACCAGCACAAAAGCAAATAAAAACAATCAACCGTCACCACAGCAATGAAAGCAAAGATTTCACATCATCAAACAACCATGATGCAAGAACCCCATCGACATTCAACTGGACAAAAACATGAAATTAAAAAGACAACAATTTGCATCTCAAACAAAAGTGAAAGACCTTTCTCTCAGGAGCGCCAGCGCCATCCGTCTGCTCGTGCCGCCGGAGATAAAAGATGAAGATTAGTTCAAAACATGTTCTACGATACCTCTGGACTTTGCTAATTATATGAATGTGATTACAAATGCATGCTGGGTAGGTTAGCAGACCTCAAAGGCCGTTTCAGAGCTGATGGATGTGGCTGCATCCGCGTTTGGCTTCTCCATGACCTCCACCTGTGGACTCTGATTGGTGGAATAATGGACAAGATAGTCTGAAAAGGTGAAATGGATGATGGGAAGGCCTGAATCCCCAATCAAAGTGATAAGGAGCGAGCCCTGAGCTCTGGGACAGGCTGGTCTGAGTGAGATCATGCTTTTCTGTTTGAGACTCTTATAAAATACTTGAAGGACTATAATAAGCTCAAGAGGGAAATCTATCCAAAATGCGTATAAATCTGCTGTTTAGTGTAAGATTAAAGCTGGTCGAGTGATTCGGGTTCAGGTCTGATATAATAAACGCTTCAGCTGAAGTGCGGGGAAAGATTTTTTTTTTCAGTCAGGATGTGGACTATGAATAGGGTCCCACTGGAATGTTGCCGATTTAAACAGCTAGAATCAGAGCGCAGTGACTAATCTGCATTTCACACTGAAAATCTGGCACTGGAAGGGAAGAGCTAAAGGGAAAGGCAAACAGCAACAAAATGCACACAGTAGCGTTTAGGAGGCAGGCAGACATGGAGACAGGAACGGGGCGGTCAGGGGTCATTTTAGGCGGCGGGGTCACACTGCATTTCCTCTGGAGAGCTCGTCTCAGCCATGACCTCTGCAGACCTGAAGCGCGCGAGTGCTTTCGGCTCCAGGTAGCACAGGGACAGGGCCAGAGGCAGCGCCAGCAGCAGAGACAGCGCCACCGACTGGCAGGCGGAGAGGAAGACGGCGAAGATGAGCAGGAAAGAGGGCAGGAGGGAAGGGGAGGAGAGGGGCAGACTGATGCAGCCATCCTCATCCAGCAGTGAGGGCAGACGCAGACCCTTACAGAAGCTGAGCATGGCCAGACCCAGCCTGGGCAGGGCGGAGCGGGGCACTGAGGGGGTCTGCAGCTCTTCAGACCCTGGGACACACTCCGCGGGCGAAAACGACGGAGCGGACAAACCCTCGCCACTGCCAGCTGAGCAGCTGCTGGAGTCTTGGGCCTGCCAGCTCAGAGGCTCAGAGTCAGGCTCGAGGTGGAGGTCGGGCTCGTCCTCGGAGATGTCAGATAACACATCCAGCTCAGAGATGGTGTCGAGGGTCGGCGGGAGGGAGGAGAGGGTGGAGGAGGATGGGGAGAATGGGAACATGAAGAGAGACTGTGTGGGTGCAACGACAGAATGCAACGGAAGAGGAATGTGCATGGCAAAAAGACATGGTGGAGTGCGCGGGGAAAGAGAAAGGGAGAGAGAAACACAACATTAGTCAGTGAGCCGAGCCGAGTCGAGGTCGGGGTGTGAGGGATGACACATTAGGAAAGACTGATATTTAGGGGTGTGCTAGTGTGTGTGTGCGTGAGGGTGGGCAAGCATTAGACCGGTGTTTCTCAACTGGTGGGTCGCAGAGTGTACGGCCAAAGAAACGGCATAAACAACAAAAAACTAAATTCTGAATGTTTTTTTGATGCGAGACTTTTATTTTAAAAGATGTGCATGAAAGCTGTTGACACTTCTGTCTAGGGTTGGGTATCGAAAACCGGTTCCATTTTAGAACCGGTTCCAAATTTCCAAGAACCAGGTATTCGATAAGACACGTGCATTTCAATTCTGCTTAACGATTCCTGCGTTTGCATTTTAATGTGATTAAAAACGATTTAAGTGCAGGAACGGAAAGAACTTGCACCCTTGTTTGCGCGAGCACAGAGAACAGAGGTCACGGTACGGGTTCCCGGTTTGTGTCCGTTCTCGAACCGTTCCGTGTATTTCCATTGTAGAAAAGGTTGTTCCGGGCCGAAACTGACTTCTTTCATATTTGTCGACCAATATGCAGAAAACTAGGTCAGTATATCATCATAAACACAGCAGTTTTTGTCTTACGTGAACGTAAGCAGATGAGAAAGAAAACACATGTACAGTATTTTTAGATCTGCGTGCGTTCGGTGTTAAAGAGACAGCCTAATAAACGCGCTGCCTGTCATTAATGTTAATCTAAGAACAAAAGAAAATCATTCACTGATCTTGACTGAATATATTTAATAACTTTAATTGATTAATCTATATTTTATTTATGAAAAGAAAACTATGCAGTGTTTTTAAACTTTTAATACAGTTTCTGTACCTGAAATTTTGTTCAGTTGTATTTATTTATGATCTTGTTAATTGATTTGTTTGTTCCTATATTATTACTGACTGTTTACTTCTCTTTAACACTTTAATATTTGAAATGTATATTAATCTAGTTGTTTTTGCAGTGGTATTTTTTTTAAGCATAGGCAAAATTCCTCTTGCAGTGTTCTGTAGGCTGCTGATTTTTGCTTGTGTTATTCAGCTGCAACAGAATGCTTTGTAAAAAGACAGAATAAATGTTTGACATTTTTTTTATATTGGATTTTTCATCTTATTGGAATCTAAACTAGGAATCGATAAGAATCGGAATCGATAAGCAGAATCGCAATCGATAAAATTAAAACAATACCCAACCCTACTTCTGTCAGATGCAGTTTAAGTTAAGAGTGTCTGAGAAAAATGCACGGTCCCGATTCAGTATCTGCGGTCAGATGAGATGTTGACAGGTTTAATGTCAGTGTCATTATTCTATTGTTATTTTCATAACTTGTTATGGAATAAAAAGCCTCTCACATCAGAGAAACAAACTATCCTGTCCTGCCAGATGTTATACCGTGCTCGTAGCACGCACTCTTCAATAGCACACGTGAACGTGGCACTGCGCTGTATATCACTTCACTAAAGCACAGAAACTATGAGCATGCAATGCGTGAAATAAAAGTACAGTACCGATAAATCACATAACTGGTACTGCATGTGTTAGCTGGGAAGGATTTGCATAAAGGTATGATACATTTAATCTATTCAGGAGCAGTTTCCACGTTTCATTAACAGTTCATGTTAGTGTTGTATATTCACCATGGTAACTGTTGTTTCACTTTGTCATTTTGTATATGTTTAAATGACTGGTGGCTCAAACCAACTTAATTGTATTTACAAAAACTAGTTTGGGACTGCTATTTAATAGCCTTACGTTATAGGCTGTTTATTCAGTATTAATCATATTCTTAACAGTCTTGACTTAATTTTTGTGAAATAAATTTGCTTTGTTTTTGTTTTTTAACAAATTATAAATATACAGTGGGTACGGAAAGTATTCAGACCCCCTTAAATTTTTCAGTCATTAGACAACATAAGCTGGCAGAGTATTGGAGCAGAAGCTCAGGAGAAAAGAGGAGGGCGTTTTCACACTGGGCTGTGGAGTCCGCTCGATGTCCTAATGCGCTTTCTGCAGTGGCCGTGAAAGCGGTTCTCAATGAGAGTGTAAGAGTGTCTGGGCTATGGCTCACTGTTGGTTTAAAAGCAATCCGGACTAATTTGTCGAACTAAACAACTATCGATGGTGCATTACTTTAGTATAAAAATATTAACATTCAGTAATGCTACCAGTTTAACTGCATTGCCACTATGGGATGATAAAATCTAAACTAAACTGATTTATGACATTGCCTTCTGTAGAGCTGCTTTAGAGCTGAAGTGAACTTTTCATAATTGACCCTTCGCCTTGAGTTTGATTGACAGGCGATCTGACCATTCGTAACGCCGAATCTGCCATTTTGTCTGACAAACAAACCAGACTGGAGTAGATTAACGTTGGTGGACTTGAACTTGAAAAACGGTGTGTAAACAAGATTCCTCCTGATGTTCATTTAGTGCTGTAACTAGTAAAGAGGAAGAGATGACCGGTTCACGTGCTGCTTGAACTGATGCTCAACAAGGGGGCGGGTCTTTGCGAAGGGTCGACTGGACTCTCCAACACTGAAAGAGTAACTGAACTGAATCTAAACTGAGTTGAAGCTTCTGAGCTTCTGTAGAGCTGCTTTACAGCTGAAAATGAATTTGTTAATTGGTGAATTTAAAACATAGTAATTTTCATGTTTATTAATGTGTAAGAGCCTGTATTATATAAAGCGCTACATAAATGTGAAATAACTATAAAGCTGCTCATCTCCACAGAAACAGCCTTTAGTGATGCATCTTTTGCAAGTCCACAAGTGCTGATCTGTGTCAAGTTTTGGTAGTAAAACCAATGGCGTGAGGGCATTCTGGTGTATTTCTGAGGTCATTAGCTGTCAGAATTCAATTCTTTTGGTTAAGAACCACATTCCAATCTTTGAGTTTGGTTCATGTGGACTCCAGTACAGTTCAGTCAGTAAGTAATCTGGCCTAATTTGATCACGCTAACAGCAGAAGTAATGATGTGACTTAGGTAAGTAGAACCTGATGCAAATTTTGGTAGTAAAACCCAACAAGAAGCCATTACCTGGCAACACAGGTAAACCGCTGTCACAGCAGTATTCACATCAACGGCGTAGAGAAGTGGAGAGAACGCGAACTCTGGTTCAGATCGAGTGTGAAAACGCCCTGAGAGAAACACAGAGGCATCTGTCTGGATTCCAGTGTCCTAAACGAGAGTAACTCAATCAGGAGCTCTTCAGTGGGCTGGACCTACATCATATCTAACGAGCAGGCCGGTGACTAGCAGAGGGGTGGAATGTCGGCCGCCATGGAAACAGCCAATAACGGGCTAGATAACACTGTTATTGTCACCAAATTGGTTTGTGTGCGTTTGAGGGCAGTTCCACAGACAGGATGAGTTCTCAAAGCGCTTCAGTCCTCCATTGGCTTGCGTGTAGGGCGTCTGTGAAAGACTCTCTTCATGTGAGAGCTATAGGTTGCGGCAGGAATGCCAGCGCTCCTTCAGGGCTCACGGAAGCCATGAATACAGGCCTTTGACTGGCAGGGAAATGTCACATCTGGGTGGCAGACTGACTCGAGGCGTACAGTACGGGCTGAGTTTCTCTGAGTATTGTTCAAGAACTGGACTCGGAGTGAGCCGTGTATGTGTGTGCCTCCAAACAGAGGATGATCCCAGTGTATTACAAAACATTTAGGCAGCATGATTCAAGGCTTAGCATCATTTCGGAGTTATCATTTCTACAAAACAAACCAGAATCAATACAAAAAATGGGGAAAAATAAAGTATTTTACCCTAAGAGAGAAACTCATTGCAGTACGAGTGGATCTGTACGTTTAACATCTGAGCAGGAGTAATAGCTAGTTATTGTTCCAGGGCACCTCCTGTAGACCTGAGGACTGTGATGAAAGTGATGAAGAGATCTTTCTCACCTTAGAGTCGGAGCTGAGCTCCAGAGCCGGGCCGTTTTCTCCAGCACCTGCAGCTTGACTGTAATCACTCACGTTCACCACAGGAGCTGCCGCCACACACACACACACACACACACACAGAAACATACCGTTAGCCAGTAGTCCATTCGTTCATATCTTTAAACAGTGCTGTCAGAAAACACAGAATATCTGAGACTTTTTTTTTTCCATTTAAACCCTTTGAACAGTTGTGGGATTTTGAAATGAAGATGTGCACTATTTCCAGGTGACTAATCAAATGTAAGTAAATAAGACCTTCTCACATTCATGTTTATTTTTCAATTAAACTTTTCACCTCAAGCTGTTATGTTGGACAATTCTTTCATTTTTATTGAAAAATGCTGAATTCTGAATCTGAAACAGTGATCTCAGATGCCACTGTATGACTAAACACTTATCATTAAACATTGGGTTTATTAAAAATCAATTCATAAACACCTCAGCTGGAACAGGATGGCATACATTTTGTACCCAAAATAATTTTTAACTAATACAAATCTACTCTACTGCTCACATAATCAGTCACATGACTGTCAGCTGTAAACAGCTGTTTGTCTGTTACTGCTTGGACAATTAATAAATTCATACTTTATTTACTAATATGAAAATAATACCCTGTTTATTATTTGATTATTTAAATATCCTATTTTAAAAAATTAGGAAAAACTGAAGCACTATGATGCATGTGATTTAAAAAATGTGGAAATTAGTAGAAATTATTTAATGCAAACTATTATTTACAAGAAGTTAAACATTTGACCCAGCTACATGTTTGACTAGTAAAATAATTTGTGCAAGCTCTAATTTACATAAATGTCTATAATAATTAATGTATAATATCATTATAATAATGACCCATTTCAAAAGTTTGTGATTTTGTTCTCGTTTCTTTTCTTCTTTAAAGATCGCACTCGCTGTTCTCACACTGTATTCTTCTAAGCGGTTTCCAGCATTTGAGCAATGAAAGCATCCATGCGTATGCATTGCAGAAGAGCAACAGTTACTCTACAGGGCTTGGCAGCGGTCAAAAATAGTTTACGAAATGACTTTTGGATCGATCCCTTCTTGTAAACTCAGAGATGTGGATTCAGACGGCAGTTAAAAGACCACACGACCTTGGCGTCTGTCAAAAACAGAAGGTAATTTAGTCAGAAATTGGGAGAAAAACACTGGATTTGGATGGCAATAACTATATATATATATATATATATATATATATACACTCTGTAAATGCTGAAATGACCTCAGGCCCCATGAGAAACAGTTACGGTCCGGCTTTATTCTGCAGTAAGCAGTGATTTCTGTGACAGTGCATCCAGACTACCAACTACATCTGCCAAAACATGAAGTGTACAATGAGAACACATTATTATGAATACAACTTCCATTCCCAGTCAGAGAATGAAGCAGAATTAATATCAGCCAGGACTTTTCCTCTTTCTTGATTTCTAAGATTTCAGAAACACAAATTTGACTTCATGTAAAATAAACATAACCGTTCCTACTTATCGAATTAAATATAGATGTGATGTGCTCAGGCACCTACAATATTGCATACGCTACGATTTAAAACATTTAATGTTGCTTTCATAAACTAAAAAAACATGGTAGTATACAGTATACTGCACAGTATGCAGTAATCCAGTATTTCATTCCAAACATGGCCAAAACCTCAGCTGGGACTCTAAAGCCCTTGCGGTCAAATGACATTTACATCCAAAGACATCAATCACACACTCACACACACACACTCTCTCACACACACACACACACACACACACACACACACACACACACTCACACACTCACACACTCACACACTCACACACACACACACACACACACACACACTCTCTCACACACACACACACACACACACACACACACACAATCTGGACATGGTTTATGTAAGCATTCTTATGGGACAGTGTTCTCGAATGCACTACACACTTCTGAAAATGGAGTACTAACACTCAAACGTGCACTACACCCCGTGAGATTCACAGCAGCACCGCCGCTCTCCATTAGGAGCCTGTGGATAATGGATCCGACAGTACAGAAGAACATGTGAGCGCTACCTCTCCGCATCGGCATGACCTGGATTGATCTGTGTGAAAGTAGGCTAATGTAGCCTGCGCTGCTGGGACGTCCGTTTCATCAGGTCACTCTGCGACAGCTCTGAGACGCAGCAGAACTGGGCCACCCGCAGTTCCCCGCGCTTCCACCAGGGATCTCAACATCATTAAAACAACACGGCCCTGACTGGATTCCCAGCAGGAGGAAAACGGGGTCATCTTAAAGGAGAGGAGCATCAGTGTTCATAGCGGCTGCACATGACTCGATGGGGAGCGGCCCGCATGCGTTTACAATCTCCACTCACGATTTAAAACATGAGTGTGTCATCAATCACAAGAGCCATACTGATCACACTGTTGAGTAAGGCCGTTGAACTCAAACACTGTTCTGTCAGTGGGAAAAAGAAAACTTTACACAGCCTTCCTAAAGCTCTGAGCATTAGAAATGCATGGCTGAGGTTTATTTTTAATGGCCTGAGCGACTGAAAGATAAAGGTTTCATTTATTGTTCACATTCCACAACGGACTGTTTTGTGAATTATTCTAAACATGCTGCCGGTTTTTCACCAAAGCTTTTATTGAAAGATACAGCAGTGCCAAACATTGAGGAAACGCAGGTCAGCGCATTTATTTTGAATCTTATAGTGTGTTTGTAATAAATGTCAAACCAGCGTTTAATGCTATTAAAACACCAAGCATGAAAGCATGAAAGTTGCAACCACGTGTTGGCAAATGAATGAGAAACAATCTAATTTCTCAAACCTACTTAAGCTGCAGCGACTTTTGTAACACAAGTAACAGTAGTCCTTCAAAAACTATATACTGAAAATTAAGAAATTAAGCAATCAAAAGCAATCCCCACACTGAAAACAGACTGTTGCAATTTCTTCCATCTCGGGCTCAAACATATTTGTGAACCTGCAGCACAGAAGCAGTGTTGAGTCGCTGGGGGATATTTGTAGCAATAGCCAACAATACATTGTATGGGTCACAATTATACATTTCTCTTTTATGCCAAAAATCATTAGGATATTAAGTAAAGATCATGTTCCATGAAGATATTTTGTACATTTCCTACCGTAAATATATCAAAACTTAATGTTTGATTAGTAATATGCATTGCTAACAACTTCATTTGGACAACTTTAAAGATGATTTTCTCAATATTTAGATTTTTTTGCACCCTCAGATTCCAGATTTTCAAATATTGTTCTATCCTAACAAACCATACATCAATGGAAAGATTATTTATTCAGCTTTCAGATGATGCATACATTTCAATTTCAGAAAAATTGACCCTTATGACTGGTTTTGTGCTCCAGAGTCACATATATGTATATTTGATTCTTTTATTCTCGTCTAGCAGAGTGCCGGTGTTTGATAAGGATGTTCCACCTGACTCATGACACAGAAATGCATTTTCCTTCAATTTGCAGCCCAAATATGTGAAATGTGTCGTAATGGCTGATCATGTGCAGATGATTTTAGTTCTTAATTCAGTTGTGCATTCATCTGGATTGCTTGTATAGACTGCATGTGTGTGTGTGTGTGTGTGTTTATGGTGGGTTCTTCTGTTAAATGTTGTTTTCTTGCCCTCATATAGTCAGTGAGCTGAGGGTCTGGTCCGTGTGCAGACAGGCGTCTCTGACAGCTGCTCTGTCTCCAGCATGTCAGTTTGAGCTTCCAGCGAGAGCGTTGCGAGCGGCCTGTCCTGCGGCAATAGCCAACAATACATTGTATGGGTCACAATTATACATTTCTCTTTTATGCCAAAAATCATTAGGATATTAAGTAAAGATCATGTTCCATGAAGATATTTTGTACATTTCCTACCGTAAATATATCAAAACTTAATGTTTGATTAGTAATATGCATTGCTAACAACTTCATTTGGACAACTTTAAAGATGATTTTCTCAATATTTAGATTTTTTTGCACCCTCAGATTCCAGATTTTCAAATATTGTTCTATCCTAACAAACCATACATCAATGGAAAGATTATTTATTCAGCTTTCAGATGATGCATACATTTCAATTTCAGAAAAATTGACCCTTATGACTGGTTTTGTGCTCCAGAGTCACATATATGGTTCTATCACAGCGCTTGCCATCTCCAGCATCAAAACACACAACACGCTGTACGTGAGGGCGTGGCTACAGTGAGATGAGGTTAGCCAATCACAGCAGTGGGCGTTTACGTCGGTTTCTGCAAGAGGAAAGGCCCCTTGAAATTGAGCATTTTTCATAGAGTGAGAAAATGGGGATGGAAAATTATAATTTTTTCAATTATTGGACCTTCCTTGGGGCAAAAAAAATAAACTTTGCTAACTTTATAAACTAACCTTGAGAAACATGATATACAAATCTGAAACTGCATTATATGTGAAACTCAGAAGTAGAGTAAAACACATGCGAAATAAGTCAACTGCTGCAATGTCAAGAGGATTCTATGTCAAAACATAGCTCATATTTTTTATTTTTTCATATATATTTGACCTGTATGATCATTTTGGGGGTGGAGCCTGATGCGGACTCTTTCTGTGCTGTATCACTGCTCTGTGCTTCATTCTGTTCTGCCTATAAAACCCTCATTTCCTCTGAGCTCATCTCTGCTCGCTCCACAGACAGGACACAGATGTCCCTCATTTCCTGTGTCTGTCCACGGCAGACAGCCAGGACAATGCGGCTACATCTATTCATGCACGCGGACACAACAATACAACACAAGATCACTCCTCAGACACGAGAACAGCAGCGATGGACAAACCGCAGACAAACCAATCAGGGTTCATTCATATAGAGAAAAATCATGACAAACGAGAGGTGAATAACATGCATAATAAACACTGAAGCCCCATTCACAGGAGTGGTGATTTACTCAGTGTAGGTCACTCATTTATCACGGAGCTAACGCTTTCAGTTCAGAGCTGAAGGGTCCGTTGTTTTTATATCATTAAGAAAAGCTCAAATGACGGTGAGGCTGGTGTTTCACCCTGAAGCTGACCCCACAGAAACATATCTGCATTTTTACATCTCAATTATTTAGTGTTTATTAATCAGTCTTATTCAGGAGGACTGCTGCAGCTGATTTCAGGTTTTACTACCCAAGTTTGGACCCCATAATGTAGGTTAAACTAGTACACACACACACACACACACACACACACACAAACAAACACAAACACAAACACAAACACACACACAAACACAAACACAAACACAAACACACACACAAACACAAACACAAACACAAACACACACAAACACACACAAACACACACACACACACACACACACACACACAGACCTCGGCTGAAGAGCCTCGTTCACTGCTGGGAGATTTCCTGCAGATAAAGAGTTCATAACCTGGAAGTGGGAAGAGTTCACTGACAAACATGTTGCGTCACGCTTGTTTTTCTGCTCCTCTGAGGGCACAGATGAGATTTGGGCATGTTGAATTGAAGAAAAACAGGCGCTGTGCCTCAGTGCCTTTCTAAGAGACCAAAGAGTTTGTGGGAGCAGATAAAAGACTTCCTGTGTGTGTTTGTGTGAGGGCACTGACGAACACACAAACACAAACACACACACACAGAGCTCAACCATGGCCTGAACACACATCACAGGCAACACTTTATATGTTTGAAAATATTACACAAAAATAAATAATTTTAGCACCCAGCTTTGGCTAAGTGTATTTCCAATTGGGCTGGGCTATACATCAAATATTAGGGATATTATTGCGATAATTCTGCTGAATATTAAAGGTTCAGCTTACACTTAAGTCAATCTAACACCCCTTTTTTGTCCCACAACTCTGACAGCCGTTGCTTTTAAACTCCTGTGTGTGTGTTTGCACTCTGTGAAGAGCGTCAAAGCTTTGTGAAGCACTGACCACTGTAGCCAATTACAGACATTTCTGTTGAGCACCAATCAGATGTGTTTTAGTCAGTCAGCGTGTCTCAACTAACAAAGTAAATAAGAGATTCATTGATTATAACGCTTAAGTGATTGACAGCTTCAGTGATGTTAAAGGGAGCGCTCTTTTCTCGCTTTGTCTTATTTGTCTCTTTTTGTCTTTTTTTTTTTTTGCCGTTACAGCAACCACAGCTTTTGGTAAGAAAGACTGCACTTTGTATAATTTTTGTATTTCATATTGTTATATTAGTACAGTGGTACCCTATTTGTATTCCTGTTCCTCTTTAGTTTGGTGATTCAGAAAAAAAGCAGTAAGAGATTACTGTCTAGATTTTTTTGAACTAGCCCTGATTTTGCAATAAACTATTTGTACTTTTTTTCATGGGTGAACATATTTTTTACCTTTTTAACTTTTGAGAAAGCAATTGCAAAATCGATATTCAAGATATATACTGAATATCATCAAAATGTGGAAAGATCTGGAGATATCATTTTTAAAAAGGTATAAATATAAAAGCTATATTGCCCAGCCCATAATTTCAATTCCAATTAAAGGGCACATGTGTCAAGAAAAACTAGATTTGAACATGTGAAGGGTTATTAAAACATTGTTGTGTGTGTCTGAGCATCACAACCAGCCCGACACAACACTGACTCGAGCACAGAACGGGGAAGGGACTAGCTGTTTTCATTTAGTGAGGCAGAACTCATGCTTCACTTCAGCTGGAAACAAGACCAAGTGTTCCTGTGACACACAGACCGAGCAAATGAAGTGCGATACCTCCATCAAGACTGCGAGAGATGCGTTTGCTGGAGGTGCGCTGGAAGTAGGGCGTGGGCCGGTCGATGAGGGTGCTGGCCTGTCGCGTCTGCGCCTGCGTTCTGCCGCTGTAGCGGAACTTAGAGCCCAGAGTCAGGAACTTGGTCTTGGTGGGCTGTTCAGGAGAAACCAACCTGTGAACAGAGACAGACAGCAGCGCTCAGAGGACTTGCACTACACACACAGTACTGTCTCTACATGAGCTCAGACACCCATTATTCTCTTTCTCTCCAAATCAAGTCGTGACGTGATCCATTACTGACATCAGTCCACAAAGTGGCAGAAAAGGCAACCGACAGCTGGAGAAAAGGGTTTTATTGCAATAAAAAAAGTTTTTTTCAGGTTTAAGGCCCCACCGGTATAGAAAAACCTGTACACACACAATCACTCACACACACACACACACACTATCTCTCTCTCTCTCACACACACACCCTCTCTCTCTCACTCACACACACACACTCTCTCTCTCACTCACACACACACACCCCCTCTCTCACTCACACACCCCCTCTCTCTCACTCACACACCCCCTCTCTCTCTCACACACTCTCTCTCACTCACACACTCTCTCTCTCACTCACACACTCACTCTCACACACACACACACACACACACACACACACACACACACTCTCTCTCTCACACACACACACACACACACACAGGATAGATTCAGGTCCTGTGAGGCAGCAGCCACCTGAAGCACCTCAAATCTCCAAAAACTCTGTTGTATTGCTGATATGTTTACCTGAAGAAGGTGTGGTGTTCAACACAGACTTTCCAAACTCTTTTGGCGGCCCGGTGGTTGGGCAGCTTGAAGCCGACGGTGCTCTCAAACTGCTCGGCCTGAGACACACATAAATCACCTTATCAATATCAGCATTACAGACACAGAGATTGTCATCAGCCTCAGACTCAGTTTTTTGCTCAGTCGTACCTCTCCCGGCCTGATCTTGATGTAGAAGTTACTGCGTTTGTAAGAGATCTTGAGGATTTTGGGCCAAGCAAAGCGGTTTATCCGCAGACGATCCTTATAGATTAACAAACCGTTTGCACACACTCCCAGCATGATATCCACTCCCTCAGAGTCCTGGGAAAAGAGAGGACATGAAAAACATTCACATCCACTTCCAGCACAAGATCTGCTCACACATCAGTAAAAGCTGAGTGAATCTGAATAACGAGTAGAAAAACAAAGGCAGCCACTCTCCTCTCAGATCTTTGAGACACCAGCATCAACACGCATTTCAGATCTGGATAGTGTCGGGATATTTTAAGCCATAAACGAATTATGTCATTCAGAAAGCCTTCCGTCACATGCAAATAAAATCAAAACTTGATTGTGTGTGAATGGTTAGATGTGATCATGTTGTGTTTTGCCCTGACAGCTTCAGGAAACACTGGTTTATTCTGTTTTAAAGGGGTGGTTCATTGTGATTTCACTTTTTTAACGTTAGTTAGTGTGTAATGTTGCTGTTTGAGCATAAACAATATCTGCAAAGTTACAAAGCTGAAAGTACAATGCAAACGGAGATATCGTCTTTTAAAATTCTGGCAGTTTAATGCCTACAAAAACGGCTGGTAGGGACTACAACGAGTTACTTCCCGGGTTCGTGACATCACAAACCCAGATAATCCCCGCACTCGGGAAAAGGCAGCAAAGGGGGCGAGGCCTGCGCTGCTTTAGAGAAGAGGAAGAGAAAACTAGAGGTGCACGTAAAAATCTGTTTATATACGAATCGCGATTCTGTCTTCTAACGATTCTAATGGATTCACAAGTTTCAAAATCAATGTTCAAAAGCAGCGGTTCTCAATAGTGTTCCTCGCGTCCCCTGCTCTGCACACGCTCTCTCTCTCTCTCATTCAGCTCAGCTCAGCTCCAACAATGAACTGTTCCAATTATACACTTATTTCCATGAGAAGCGTGCATACAGTTGCTGTACTATATTAAAGCTTTAATCAGGATAAAACCTATATTTTAAAAGCTAACAGAAGCAGTAGCATTTACAAATAACAGCGTATCAAAGTATGAGACAACAAAAAACTAAAAACATAGGCCTACCATTAAAAGCTGTGCTTGCACAGGTTCTGAACGATCCTCTTCAATAATATCCTCTGCTTCTCAATCGAGCTCAAAATGATAAGCGATATTAACGATGCCGTTGTTTACAATACAACCGGAGCACATGCCGCTGAGGTGAGGGGCATTTAGACACGCACTAGACGCGGTTTAGCCAATCACAACACATTGAGCTAGCTAACCAATCAGAGCCCATCTGAGGGAGGGGCTTCATAAAAACAGGAAAAGATCAGCCCGTTTCTTAGAGAAGAGACCGTTCGGTGTGGAATAAAGGTAAATTATATGAAAAATAATGTGTTTTTTTTTTAACTAAGCATTAATATGTTAGACTGCACCCCATAAACACAATAAAGCCTAGGAAAAAAAACAGTGAACCACGCCTTTAACCCTCTTTTAAATCACAGCTTCATCGGAATGGTACGAAACTTGTTGACTTATGGCATTTGAAATGTGAACACACAAAAAATATGAGGGCATGATTCGAGCATGCTAAGTGGCTGCAAAAATTTTTTAAATAAATAGTCACACTTGTGGTCTTCGGTCAAAAATGACCGACCATAGGAAATGAATGGGAAATCGACAAAAACAGAGAATCTGAAACAAATCTGCCACAATCAGATCAGACGCAGAAGAATTAAGCTCTAATAAAACATTCCTGTTCATTTTTGTAGATGTTCAGGTTTGACTGTAGTAATAATAATTCAAAAACTGACGCTTCAAATCAACTTTTAAAAAAAAATAAAAATCTAAACCTTTACAAAAAGTTGTCTTTGAGAATGTCTAAATATATATCTAAACCCACAATTTAATAAAAATAAGTTTTTATGTCTAAAAACAATTAGAGAGTTTATAGGCCTTTTATATAGGAACTATATGGGCTAAACCATGGATTTGCAGATGTTTTTCTTATTTTACTCCCACCAGATGGCACTAATCAGGCTTAAAAAATTTGATTTTAAAAGCATAGACACCATTTTAACATGAAATACTGCATTGATTGAAAAGAAATATAAAAATATATATTTTTTTTAATTTGTATTATTTTCCATGGGAAGAAATTCATCATAATTATTGCATAAATATTAATTAGTACCATGAAATTATCTCAAAATACAAAATTTTAAAAATTAAAAAATAATTTGTATTATTTAGAAAATAAGTTCAAAATTTTAGGTGACCGTGAAGATCACAGGTGTGACTCTCAAATGAGGAGAATCAGAGGGTTAGGACTGATCCATTTCTCCAATAACTCTGACTCGTTGCTCAGTTCTACAATAACACTGGAAGTAAAGCAGGTCAGTGTTCCCGAGGCCTTCAGAGAAGAAACTGGCACCTGATGTTACGCACAATCACTATAAATCACTTCAAACTATATATAATTGCAAATCACATCCATCATGGCACTGACTCCTGCCACTGCAGCACTTATCTGAATGTGTTTATGTAACGTCCTAAATGGATCTTTATTGCCGGGGCTTTTGGGCCGTGGAGCACCGATTATTGATCTGTCTGTGAGCTCTGAGAGGAATCAACAGCGCCGATAGCAGACTGAACTCAGACTATCTGTCGCCACGAGAGGCTTTTAACACTAACACAGCTCTCACTGATCTCTCACACATCAGCGCATCAGTAAGTGCTGAAAGCCGCAGGCCTCCAGTGAACTCTGACCCTCGGAGGAGAGCGGGCGAGGTGCGGCTGAGCCTCAGCATGTAGAGATTCACGGGACAAAACCACGTTAACATGTCCAGAAAATTAAGAAATAATTTGTGTGTAAAGACAATGGGGTCTATGTGGAGAAACATTTAGATGTTTTCTGCATTGTGACATTTTCTTGATCACAATTGTGTGCTGTAAATGTGAGCGATTTAAGAAAAAACAGGACTAGGCTGCACACAACCTTAGTGTAAACATTATACAGGAACAGAAGACTACCTTTAGAGTGTGATTTGCCATTTACAACATTCCCTGACAGACAGAACTAGACTAACACAAGTGTTATTTTAGCACCATTGATGTACTACTAGATTTTGTTTATTAATATTTAGAATTGTATATGTTAGTAATTGTGTTTTTTTTTTTTTTTTTTT